TGGCCTGAAATTAGAAAGAGGTGAACAAATAAGCGAGAATAATAACAATAAATAATAAGCGATTTTATTGCAATTTTTTATATGAAATTTTTTTTCGAGAAAAATTTGCGAAGAACATAATGCGAAAATTCTGAAAAAGTGAAAATTTTAGCTTTATGTAAAAACTGCAACTACAAAACTACCAAAACTGTTCGGGTTATCAGTGTGAGTATTCCCTGTTAGTGATGTTACCAAGATGCTTTCACACACCGAGCGCAGTTATGCCAGGTCATTCGATTAAAATAAATGTAACTGGAAAATAGGGTTATGCTTAAAGACATCAGCAAATCGTAACTCACGTAAAAAAAATCGGTCACAATCACAGAAGATCTTTGGAAAAACAGCAGCTCACTTGAAAAATAAGCATTTTTTTGCAAGACCAAAGCGGATGGCACAAAAACTGATGCAACCTGAAAAACCGCAAATTACTGCCTTCAAGCGGCCCTATCAAAAAAACAAATTTGTTAAGGCAAATATAATTTGATGTACCTCACTTAGAAGATATTCAAAGAAAGCGAAAAATGGTGGATAATCGAGTGTCCAGTGAGATGTGCTGTCGTAATACCACGATTGCAGTGGAAGCGTATGCGTGATGGCCATCCAATTACGGTGAACCTATAAAAAAGTTTAATGCCAATTTTATGAAACAATAAAAAATGACGGAGAACAAGCACTGCCATTTTTTTCCAATGGAGCGCTGTAGATGAGTAAGTCTACAGAGCTCCATCGCAGGATTGAAAAGCCCGCACTAGTCACTCGTTTCCATCATTGTGGCATATTCCAGTGGGTCAAACCTGTCATTAGTTCACTTGTACATGAAGGTGTCACAAGTAGTATTAGCAAGAGATTACTGACAGTGTGTGGTCACTCCAGCCACTTCCGACTGCTTCTGTTCTTACAAAAAATGTGTTGTGGAAAAGATTTGACCATAGCCATGCAGTAGTATAAGTGCGGCTAAAACGGAAGCAAACAGAATATAAAACGAAAAAAAAAGAGTATAAATTTTAAACAATCAGAACACAAATGCATGCAGTGCCACGCGGCGTGCCAACTTGATCTCACTGAATATTCGCATCACTGCATGCATAGCTACATCCCCAACACAAACATTAAGTCATTCTTTCCTAAGAAATGAAGCCAGTGGTAACGAACAGGGGATATAACAAAAACGAAATAGAACCAAAACTGAGGGATGCTGTCGCGAAACCAACAAAATCGCTTCCGTGAGCAACTGTGAATGATGCTCGGTGGATCATGCCGTTTAGTTATGAACGGATAACGCTATTCGCTTATCTGATTATGTATGTATATATATATATACATATATATATGCATATATATATATATATATGCAATATGTATGAGATGTTTTTGTACTGATGTTCTGTTCGCCTTTTCTGCTCGTTGTTTTTAGTTGTAAGCCAATTCATCTTCGCACGACATCCAGTTGCTCAGAGCTTTGTCCCCATCCGGTCGCAGAGCTGCACAGTACTTGCCCGCTTCGTACGCCAGCAATCAATTTGGCAGTGTTCCATCGAGCCGTCGTCAACCGAGTCGTCGCCATCATAATAAACTACTTAGTCATCTTCGTTACAGTTATCGCTACAGAACCAACGTGAAAAATCTCTTAATGGCAACGAACCTCAAAATCGGTGCTGTGGTAACAAGGAATCAGCAGAAATTTGACTGTGAAAACTGCTGCACAGCATTTCCAAAACCACTGCTTCCGAAACGCCTTTAACTGCAGCAATTCATCGCAGTGCCCAGCTGATCTGTCGATTTTCTCGGCCACGGCCTTGCTGACCTTCTCCCTGCCAATGGTGGCCATTGACCAAGAAGTTTTAGATTTCAGCGAACTTCAAGCGCCATAATGCACTGCAATGTGTCAGTGTAGTGAAAAGAAGCGCACATGTACCCGCACTCATACAGTAACAAGCAATGTCTAAAGGTGTAAGGAAAAGGACATGAATGAGGCACCGGAAAGAAGAACAGTGCAAATCCGGGATTCCCCAACAGAAAAACAAGAGGATGGAAAAGATCGCCACCACAGAAGCGCAAAAAGAAGACTTTCAGTCACTTTGGTGACACAAACACACACACAAAACTGGTCTAGCTCGGCCAGGCTTGCTGGTGTTAACATGCGTTTTTGCACCAAACTTGAAGTAATCAGGTGTTAAGTGTATGAATGGTTGTTGCTTTACAATTATCTTTTTCGCTCATTAGTGCGATTCATCGTAAGGTTTGTGCAAATGACAATAAACAATTTCTATCGAACGGTCGTTCGTTGAAAATGATCTAACTAACCAGTGAGCAATATTCCTGCCAAAACTTTTGAGTGCCCGTACGTGAGAACCACGCATGCCTAGGAGCTAAATTTAAAATCTTTACGCAGACGAGCAACATCACCTTAAAACTCCGGCTTTCCAGCTTTTCTGGTCCCCGAGATAGAAATTTTCTCGCCGAAGATTTCACGTGCTCGTACGCGAGTAGCGCGCATACCTAGAAGCTGAACTTGAAATCTTCAACTCGTATGTGGAAGAGGAACGTCCCTCTAAAATTTCAGCTCCTCAGCTTTTCTGGCCACCGAATCACCAGTTTTCCCGCCAAACCCTTCACGTGCTCGTGCGTGGAGTTCGGAGGTACATGGGCTTTGGTACTAAGGCCCTGGAGTGGCATTTGACCGGGAACCTAATGGCAAAATTTCAGCGCTGGAATTTGCTTGGTGGTCAAATTGAAATACCCGGACAGATGCGCGCGCGCACATATATACACACATATCGTCACAATATGCATTTTTTTTGCATTTGCATATGTGCAACTTAGTCGAAAGCACACCGACTGCAGGTGCGAAAATGCGTTTTTTGCATAGTTCTTTGGCAGGTTTTTGTTGCTAATGGCACTGTTTTTCCAGGCAGATGCTTCTAGCTACGGGAATTGAGAGTAGCCACCACGATTTTTATGCGTTTTGTGCAGTATAACAGCAGCACAAAACGCATATTGTCACGAGGTTGTCTTTATGTGTGTTTGTGTGTGTGTGTGTGTGTGTGTGTGTATTTGTCCGCAGCAACTTGTTAGCAACTTTCAACTCGGGAACCACGAAAGCTAGGAAGTTGGAAATATAGGGGCATGCCCTTCCCCCCCCCCCTTCCTCGCCCGGATGCTACCCAGAAAATTTAAATTCAGCTTTCCTCTGCACGCAGGTAACATGAACGACCCCATGAAAATTTTTGACGGGTTACCTCGGGAACCACGGAATCTAGGAAGCTGAAATTTTAGGGTTGTGACTCAGTCAAAGGACGACTTTGCAAATTCAGCGTTTCCGTGCTGTCGGGTATCATCATGGCCCCGCGAGAATTTTTGCGGGTAAATTATCTCGGAAATCACAAAATCTACGAAGCTGGAATTTTACGGCAATGGCCCCCTGTTTACGCACGACCTTCAAATTCAGCGTCCCCGCCCTCTCGGATATTACTTACGGACTCGTGAAAATTTCGGCGGCAAACTATTATCTACGGAATCACGGAAGGATATTCACCCTTCGATCGAGGCTTCAAATTCAGTTTTCATGCGCCGATGCGTGAAATTTTCAACAATTTTTCATTTCAACTATTTTTGCATAGACTAACGTACAAAGCAGTGAAAATCACTAATAGGCAATCGTTCGGTGGGCTGAATTGCACAAAACGCATGATCGCATCGGCTAGTCTGGTGCG